GTAATTTTGCTATTTCTTTAACTTTTTACTTAATAATAATGTAAAGCTGTAAAAGTATTAAAAATAAAAAACGTCAAATTTGGTATATATTTGACTGTTTAATTTCTTTATTTACAAGGACGATGGTAAATGGTCACAATAAATCCTAAACACTGAGAAGCTTAGACCACCTTTTAAACTTTAATATTATTTTATTTGTGTTAAAATTTAGGTATTCAATAAAAAATTCCATACTATATACAGATATGTATTATTTTTTGATGAAAATTGTCAAGGTGACAGTAAAGGAATCGTTAAGCACGGGTTTCCAGAAAATATTCTGCAAAACGGAAACATTAATTATTCGATTAAAAATTTGGGGTGATTTCAAATTGATTCCAGATTATGGTAACAATACATGTGTCACTTTAAATTATGTCGTGTGACTCTACTAGGAATAAATCACTTTATAAGCAATTCTCTTAATAGGTCAGTGAAGTTTGTCCGCATCAATGATATTCATAAAAAAAATCTGATGTGTTCAACACATGACTTTCCTATCTAGTTATTACAAGCTTTTTTTGGTTATTTTATACAACCTATTGTAACACCTCTGTAAATGTTTAGAGGTTAACTTAATATAAATATTTTCCACATGCATCTAACTCTAAACATTTTTCTATATACATTCATTACCAATGAAAATACTTTAAATAATTTAAATTTTATACTTTTCCTTCAATTTTTCCATTAAGGTCCATTTTAGAGAAATCACGTAAAAACAAAAATTATAGAGATCGATATCGCAAACATCATTTAGTTCAACAATTTTCATAAAAATTTGATTTTTTTACATTTTGTCAAATTTCTCGAATACAAACCATTTTAGGAAAACTTTGTATAAAACAAAAATTATAGGGAATAATACAAGAAGTAACTTTTATAAGAAGAATTTTCTTCTCCATACGTAAATAACAGATATATTTTAAAAAATATAAAAATGACCTACTATAAAGTATCCCCCAGATGTTTCGTCTCTGCCCAAAATGTTATCAGTTCACCGCAGGCCGGAATAAAGCTTAAGTTTAAAATTTGGTGTTTTTCTTTGTATCCGTTATCGTGGACACACACACACACACACACACACACACACACACACACACACACACACACACACACACACACACACACACACACACACACACACACACACACACACACACACACACACACACACACACACACACACACACACACACACACACACACACACACACACACACACACACACACACACACACACACACACACACACACACACACACACACACACACACACACACACACACACACACACACACACACACACACACACACACACACACACACACACACACACACACACACACACACACACACACACACACACACACACACACACACACACACACACACACACACACACACACACACACACACACACACACACACACACACACACACACACACACACACACACACACACACACACACACACACACACACACACACACACACACACACACACACACACACACACACACACACACACACACACACACACACACACACACACACACACACACACACACACACACACACACACACACACACACACACACACACACACACACACACACACACACACACACACACACACACACACACACACACACACACACACACACACACACACACACACACACACACACACACACACACACACACACACACACACACACACACACACACACACACACACACACACACACACACACACACACACACACACACACACACACACACACACACACACACACACACACACACACACACACACACACACACACACACACACACACACACACACACACACACACACACACACACACACACACACACACACACACACACACACACACACACACACACACACACACACACACACACACACACACACACACACACACACACACACACACACACACACACACACACACACACACACACACACACACACACACACACACACACACACACACACACACACACACACACACACACACACACACACACACACACACACACACACACACACACACACACACACACACACACACACACACACACACACACACACACACACACACACACACACACACACACACACACACACACACACACACACACACACACACACACACACACACACACTCTTATTACTCTTTCTTTAATCTAATCTTTCGAAAACATGATTGAGTTTCTTCTGGCGTTACATCTAATTATTGTCTCTTACTCGTATTTGTTTTCCCTATTTATTGTCCTCGAAGCGTACACTCGGTTTATTTTGGCAATTTGTCATCCAACTTCCAACAAATTGTAATTCGGTCATCGCAAATCACACAATCGATGACTAATAGTGTTAGCAGACGCTATCAACTGAAACGTGTATCATGGCCTCATAATTAGTTATTATCTTCCCAATACACACATATACACAGTTCAAAGCGGGTCTCTAAATACCGGCTATGTTCCTGCACTCGAGTGCTCATGTGGAATACAGATTTCGGATCGGCCGTGTGTACAATATATGCGATGCTCGACCATGCCCTAGGGTATATTAAAGATTAGTATATAGGTCACACGTTTGACATCTGTCAAATTGTTACACAACTTTAAATTTAAACTTTCCCGGGGGTATGTGTGTTTATATGCCATAATTAATAATTTAGAAATAACAGGGAATAATATAGGCGACATATTCTGTTTATTTAGACCTAGTAGAATTTTAATTACCTAATTTCTTTATCAATAAATAATTGCAACTACAAGCTGTTAATTGTTTTTGTTATTATTTATCAAAATCTACGTTTATTACCACTTTGCACATGACGATCTTTAGAATCCAATTTTGCAGACCATAGTAATCCAATATCTACTAGAAACTCAATATATATAGTATATCATATTTTATAGTCTTACCTTTGTAGTAGTCAACCAAAAATATTTACTACTTTAAACCTAAAAGTATATCTAGGTATTTATGTAAGACATTGGAAGGAGTCTAGTTATCTTTTGCTAGGGTCTACTATATCTTTCTCCATTCATTTTTATTAAGTAAAGTTCTTTCCACTGTGATATGTCGACACGCTGGAGCACCCATTTGCCATATGTTGACGTTACTTTGCAATAAATTGTTAATTTAAAAATACTTTTGACTAACTCATAGAAATTTAACACCAAACATTACTTACCTTTAATCAAATTAGAAAGAAATAAGCACATTGACCATACAGTTTTCTTAGTCGTGATTTCGGATTTTCTAATAGACACCTTTTGGAGATAATAGTTTTCTGGGAGAGTGGGGCGCCAATAAGTCTCTTTTTTTATTTTTAGAAAGCTAGTGAGGATTATAAACTCTAACTTTGTCAAAAGGAAATTAATAAAAACATATAAAATTTAATTTAAGTTACAGATAATTATTTTAACCTCAAAAAAATAGGATTTAACATATAAATGAATTTGTTTATTTGATTACACGAAATGAATTATTTATAAATAATGATTTTTAATATGCTGGTAACAACAATTTTAAAGTTAAAACTATTATCATATCATAATCAATACTTTTTTAGCCTCGTGAATTAATTACCGCTATGTAGATATCTGAAGATCTTCTAAGTTAGGAATGTCACCATCATCTATAGCCTCGGTAGCCTCTCTAGCCCCAAAACATCCAGTTAATTAATTAGAAAATAGTTTCTGTTAAAGTTGAGTATATAGCAGTATCTAGCAGTGAATTTTCGATAGGAAGGAGAAAATGTAAAATGTGAGACTGCTTACATTCGCTTCCTAAACAATAAATAAATTCTGTTTTTCAGGAAGCTCTTATACGATATATAATTTAACTTTTAAACATTTACTTTTTTTAAATTAAATCAAGATAACAAAAAACTAATTAATATAGAAAATGTGTAAATTCAGCTCACAAAATAAGTAAAGCATATTTAATAAATTTAAATTGACTTTTAAAATAAATAACAATAAAAATAAGTAGAAATATAATTTGACTGAGATATTTTTAAAATGACTTTATTAAAACTTACCACTATCTTTGCAGTCTGGGCACTGAACTGTTAGTTCAAGTTATCAGATGAGAAATGAATTTTAATGAAAATATTATAATATTGAGAGCCAGCCAGATCCCTACCTAGAGAAATTTCCCTCTCTAAGCATATTGCTAGCGCCGATAATTAAATGGTAAATCAATCTGATACTAATTTATACAGGATGTCACACAATTAAAATAACATTTTTAAATGGAATTTACGGTTACACTGGATGAGTATTCTGAGGACCATCGAGTCAGACGTACTCATGTGTAATCACACGATTGAAACAAACATAGTCAGTCATATTGAACTGTTTATATTACGTGCGGATATTAGGGTGGGCCGAAAGTTCGAATATTTAAATTTCCTTTTGGAATAGTGCCCAAAAGTTGCCTTTTGTTATCCCCACCAAAATGTTTATTTACAGTTTTTTGATTGTCAAGCATTTTCTGCCCCCTACCACAACTCAAAATTAAAAAAAAATTGAAAATCTGAATTTGAATTTTCTATTTGGAATAGTGCCCAAAAGTTGCCTTATGTTATACCCACCAAAATGTTTATTTACAGTTTTTTGATTTTCATGCATCTTCTGCCCCCTACCGCAACTCAAAATTAAAAATCAAAATTTGGATTTTTGATTTGGAATAGTGGTCAAAAGTTACCTTATGTTATCCTCACCAAAATGTTTATTAACAGTTTTTTAATTATCATGCGAATTCTGTCCCCTATACTGAAAATTCAAACGTTAAGGACAACAGTTAAAATTTTTCGGTCAAATCATATTAAAAATTATTTTATTATTTTAAATTTTTCACATTTTACATCGACTAAGACAGTTATTTAATAAAAAAAACAAACAAATAAATAAGCTTATTGTGTAAAGTCCTTTTTGCTTTCAAATTGTGGCATTAATTTACGAGAATCTAATCTTGCTTTTATAAATCCATCTCGCTTTTTACTACCTACAACTGATAACGATGCTTCCGTCACTAATTTTACACATCTCTCCACAGCTTGCGTGTGACAGGGGTAAGATGTAATCTGAATGACTTTATTTGGGGTTTCTTTTATTATATTTTCTAGTTCGCCTAATTCTAAATGTTGAAGTAGTGGAGGAGGAGTGATATCATTATTTTGCCAGTCTATTAATGTAGTATAGTCATCTGCATCAAACTTCATTTCTGGTATTTTAAAAACACGATTTTTTTCTGAACTTTCCCTTTTCTTGGCATTTAAAATACGACGCATAGCAAGTTCTCTAATATGGGGACGAGAGTCACTTAACATACATAATAGTAGGTTTTCCGGATGTGCAAAAAATGAATTTCGTTGGATAACTGGGTCAATGATTGCTTTCAGATCGTCTCTTAAATATAGACTTTGCTTAATGGTTTGCCATACATGCTTTGCCCCATTTGTACAAGAGTTGTTTTTAATTAAAAACCACATTGGAGCATAGACTTTAAGAATGAAATTTGTCAGTTCTTTCAAATTGGAACTGGGTTCTTTGGTGGAAATATACAAACGTAATAAGCGGTTTGCCAAAGTAAGCCATCGGGAATGGCTCAATTTTCCTGGATTCTGGTTTGCTAAATCTACAGAACATTGACCAGTGGATATGGCACGGCAAATTTTGTAAAGGTATTTCTGATCGGTACTTAAGTCGCTACACTGTACTTTCGGTAATTTACAGCCAATAACTTCATATTGCACAACTGGCAAATTTTCACATCGGGCTACAAGCTGGCCCAGTACACCTACAAACGCACTAGGACCGGTTGTTTGGCCATCAAGGTGTAGAAAAAGATGTCTCAAAGGTAGCTCGTTGGCATGCAGCTGGCAGATAAATCGTTGTAAAGGGCGTCCTAACTTATATTCAAGTAGAGTAATCACTCCATTCTTTAGTCCTGTGTTGACTACTGTGCCGTCAGACCCCACTGCTAATAAGCTTGACAAATCATGATTATTTTCTTGTAAAAAGTCGACTATACTTTGACAAAGATTTTTTGCAGATCCTGAGGAGGGTATTGTATGTCCCAGATACACCGAACCTGGTTCTTGCACTAAAGATATGTGTTCTTCAGTTACTGTTCTTCTGCGAGATTTGCCATCTATTTTTTCAAGAGATAATGTTTTGTCTTTTCTACCATCAAAATACAATGCAGTAATAGGTTCACAGTCTACCAAATTAATAATTTTAGTTCTTAAATGTTCTCTGGCTCTTCTTAACTTATTTTTATCTATTATTTGCACTGAACTTTCTTTTGTTACGATACCAACATCCTGTAAGACAGCTGTAGCTACTGCTGCTGCAGATCTATCCGATAATCCGTATCTGTCACACACTTTAGCGAGAGTAGGAAGTTTAATTGTATTTCTGGGAATTGCTAATTCTTTTGAAGTAGACGTTTGTTCATAAGTTGTATCTAAATAATGACTAGAGGAAACTGGTATATTAGTTGTTCGTTTCGAAAAAATGTTTGGCTTAATGTCTAGCGTCACTTTTGTATCATTTTCAGAGCAAACCTTTTTGTATAATTCTTTTCTTTGTTGCATTTTCTCCAAACGTCTAGTTTTGTTTATTAATTTGGTTGTTTCTTTTGCATCAACACCTGTCATAACCATTTTTCTGGAACTTCGCTGATCTATGAGAAAGGGACGCTCATTTATAGGTACCTGCAAAAGAAATCACCTATTAAATAAGAAAATATGTCGGACGACAAATGGGAAATTATATAACTAAAGAAATTACCATAAATATATTTATTTATTTACCTTTTTTTCTTTGCTACAGCGACATTCTTCAAGATTTTTGCATTTGCAGGCACTAATGTCGAAAAGTTTTTTATTTTCAGCTTTATAACTTTTAACTTTTAAAACATAGTTTTCATTTCTTTTAACCTTTGGGTACCACAAAAGCTTTGAGTATCTATCATGTTGAATTTTAACGAGTTGCAAAACGCGTTTGTGTGTTACTATCGGGATTGACGCTTTCTGCCATAAATTTACAATCTTATCAACAAGTATGTTTGAAATTTCTGAAACTGTTGGCTCTTTTCGGCAGTCAGGTTGTTTTAGGCTATACCTTACCCATAAGAAGCACCTCAAAACATCTTCTTCTGTCGGTAGAACATTGTTCTTTAAATCTGCTGGTGATCTCACTAAAGGACACTCGGTGTCTTGTCTTGTATGAAAGGTTTTTAAAAAACTCATAATTTGATTATTCTGAAGTACTTCTTCGTATGCAACACTAACAAATTACGGTCACATTAACACAACACGTTGCTGGTACGTTTATCCCACAACTACGAAAACAATCGTCTACCGTCTACGCCTCATCGTCCCACCAATGCCAACGGTGTCTGTACGACAGGACCGCATTCAGACCAACCACTTAATAATAGAGCTGTGGCAAACCGTATGTATTCGTTACTCAGTAACGGGTAGTCGGTCAGATACGAAATACGAATTCGTTACTGTATTTTAAATTTCGTTACTCGCATCCGCATCGTCGCATAACGCACAATAATAATACTTGAGAATACATACCGCCACCGGTTCGGTGTGCAAGATGCGAGATGGCCCGATGGGCGATGCGAAATGCGAGTGTGGCCTTGATGCGAATCGACTATCGAACCGCACGTCGACTGGGACTCTGAGAGTTCGCAACGTACTTTTGTTTATATTTATGTATTTATTTATTTCAGTTTTAAAGAATAGTATAATAGTTGTTTTTCTGTTGCGTGTTGCAAGAATATAATATGTTTTTGTTTGTTAAAGTTATGATTTTATAGAGTATTATTATTGTTTCTACTAGTGTGTTAGAAAAATATGTTTCTGTTCAACCTGTCTGACGATATTTTATTTTGCAAAACTTAACATCAGTTCTCATTGCTCATGCTCAGTGAACTACACGACTTTGTTACTAATTACAAATTCGCTATGTATTTATTTAACCAACGATTCGATATCTAATTTCATCCACACCCTCTGTTAGACAGTACCAAAACCTAACAACCGAAGCAATGCGTACGTACGATTAGTTACAGTTACCGACACCAATTCCGCATCCGCATAGACGTGTATGAGGTCCACATGATACGTGTTCTGTAGATTCGTATCACAGTAACGAAAGTAACGAGTAACGAATATTTTTATACGGGTAGTCAGATCCGAAGTAACGAATACATACGGGTATTGAGTTTCTCGTTACTTTTACAGCTCTACTTAATAATATCTACTTATTTTAATAAGCTGTAGGTTCTGGTAGGGGGCAGAAGACGCATGATTTTAAAAAAACTGTAAATTAACATGTTGGTTGCAATAACAACAGGCAACTTTTAGTCACTATTCCAAATCGAAAATCTTAATTTTCATTTTCAAATTTTTTTGAAAATTTTGAGTTGGAGTAGGGGGCAAAAGATGCATAGCAATCAAAAAACTGTTAATAAACATTTTGGTTGGGATAACATAAGGCAACTTTTAGTCACTATTCCAAATCGAAATTCTAAATTTTCATTTTCAAATTTTTTTGAAAATTTTGAGTTGGAGTAGGGGGCAGAAGATGCATAGCAATCAAAAAACTGTTAATAAACATTTTAGTTGGGATAACATAAGGCAACTTTTGGGCACTATTCCAAAACGAAATTTCAAATTCTTTTAAAAAGTCTGTTTTACGGCCCACCCTAGCGGATATGTCGTTTGTTAACGCGCGTATAAAACCACAAGTCATACGATCAAAGTTGACCGTGTACGTTAGACTCGATGGTTGTCGAAGTATGCATCCAATATAAACGTAGCCTTAGGCATTCCAACAACCTGTCAAATAATAGCTGCCAGTGGGAAGGGCTCATAAATCTAAGGGGGTTGCGACATGGCATTCTATCTTGGAGTCTATATTAATTCGAAATAGTAGTCGCCAAGCCTGATAATTTATGAAAAATTGATAAGCGATTTTTTTTAAACAGTATTTTCTTTAGTTCGACATAAAATATTTAAATTAATTCCATTATTTATGATTTCATGTATTGTAGATAGAATACATTATGTCGCAACCCCTTAAATTTATTAATCCTTCTCACCGACAGTTTATTTGTTTAGAATGCTTAATAACGTCAACAAATAGGTATTGAATAACAAAGATTCTTTGGTGGTTCCTTATTTGACTATACATTCCTTTTCAGACGCTCCTCTGTAGATTCCCGTATTCTACATATTGCCTAAAAAAATTCCCTTGATCTGTAGATGTTTGCGTAGCTTGTAATTATAATAACTACTTTCCTATATTGGATAATTAGTTTAAATAGGTCATCTGCTAGGTTTTTAGAATATGTTTTATTGTCCTTTTTGTTAGTATAGTTTATTTGAAAATGCATGACTGCAAAGTTTTTATGGCAAAGGTCTGTAATGTTAGGACAGGAGACTATCTTCTATTTATTTAATGAAACCAAAGTCGAATCGAATATATATATATCATCATTTATTTTTAACTTGAATATGGGTTACATTATAAAAAATTACTGCATTCGTTCTTTTATTGAACCTTGCAGTCTATATTGGAAAAACCATCTAATTAAACAAATTACATCATATTGCTTAGGTGTCAAAATACAGGTAACCTACTTAATTGCATAGTTCTTCGTTAACAATAATTAGTTACAATATTATGATTTATATTTACAAATATTAAAATTATACTTAAGCCTATTTTAAACTTAACAACTAAGGCCGGCATTACATCTTCCTCGAGGATTTTGAGAAAAAATTTAATTTTCTAAATAAAATTTTTTTCTATTCATAATACAACTTAACTCTATTTTTATGAACTAACTTTTCATTTCCTTCTATTTCTAAAGCAAGATTTGGAGATTCTTCTCTTATAATTTTATATGGCCCCAAAAACAAAGGTTCCCTTTTATTCCCAGTTTCATTTCTTACAAGTACCTTATCTCCTACCTTATAATTTATACTTTTAGTTTTCTTATCATATGTTAATTTCCGTTTGTTCTTTGACTCTAATAAATGTTCATGAGCATCTTTCCATGCTTGCTGTAGCCGATATTTTAATTCAGATGGATAATTTTCAAAAGTGTACAACGGATCTATGCTGCAAGAAATGTTTGTTGGTATATTACACTTTTTACCAAATATTAGCTCATAAGGAGTATATTTCGTTTCTGAATGTACCGTTGTATTGTACGCGAAACACCAATAAGAAATCCAAGTACTGAAATTCCCAGGATTGTTCGCTGTTTGAATTCTTAAAAATGCTCCAAAATGTTTATGATTATTTTCGATTTGTCCTAACGTTTCGTGATGATAAGCAACTGAATTTAATTTTTGAATTTTTAACATTTTACAAATCTCCGTAAATACTGTGTTCATAAATTCAGTTCCTTGATCGGTTAATATTTCATGAGGTATACCATAACGTAATATAAAGTTTTCTACAAAAGCTTTTGCAACTGTTACTGCTTCTTTATTAGGTAATGCATACCCCTCTACATATTTACTTAAATCACATTGCACCGTTAAGATGTATCGGTTATTTTCATAATCAGCTTCAAACGGACCAACTAAATCTAAATGAACTTTTTCAAATGATGAGGTTGCTGTAGTTGTGATTGTCATGGGTTCTTTTGCTAAAATAGAATGCTTAAATCTTTGACAATCATCACATTTTCTTAAAAATTTAACCACATCCTCATATAAACCTAACCAGTAATAATATTGCTTAATATTATTATACATTCTTTTTATTCCAGCGTGACCCCCAGTAGGTAAAATGTGAAAATCATTTAAAATCAACTGTCTATTTTCATAACTCGTCACCCTTTCTACCCCTTTTATAATAGTTATACCTATTTTACGTTCCTCGAATTCTTGCTTGTGCAGCATTATATCTTTTATAAGTGAAGACGCGCCTTTTAAATTTTTTATAATATACATTTCAGTAATATGATATTTTTTGCATATAGTAAAGAGTTCTCTCAACGATGTCCCTAGAGCGCACGTTGATCGAGATTCTCTTTTTACATAAATAATTTGCTCTTCCAAATCGTAAATAAAATTATGTTGTCTATGTATATGTTGTTTATTTGTAACTTTCTCCAATTGTTCGCTGCTAATTAATTGTAATTCTACCGCGTTTTTATTTGGCTTTAACAATTCCACCAATCCAGGGTGATCAGAAGAATTATTATTCGCCGTTTCTAACTCTGTTAATTGTATTTGTTTTTTCGTTTGAGACCTTGTTACTACGTTTACTAACTCATTTTTGTTACCTATATTTTTTAGCTCTTCAGATGACATTTCTATCCTAGACAAAGCGTCTGCTTCCACATTGTCTTTTCCTTTTATATAATTAACTACAAAATCATATTCTTCTAATACTAACCTAAATTTAGTTAATCTACTCGAAGGGTTGGTCATCCCAAATAAATAAATAAGTGGGCGGTGATCTGTCAAAATGACAAATCGTCTAGAATAAAGATATGGTCTGAAATGTTTTACGGACCACACAATAGCCAATAATTCTTTTTCAATTGCTGCATAATTGACTTCTGCTTTATTTAGAGATCTACTTGCATAAGCTACAGGACACCCATTACCATTACAAAGAATAGATCCAATTGCTTTACCTGAAGCGTCTGTTTTTAAAATAAATGTATTACTTGGAGAAAAATCTGGATATTGCAAAATTGGTGGGGATATTAACGCTTCTTTTAGGGTTTCAAATGATTTTTGACATTCTGGAGTCCACATAAAAGATACTCCTTTTCTTGTGAGTTTATTTAAAGGATTAGCTATATGTGAAAAGTTTTGAATATATTTTCTATAGTAGTTAGCAAATGCTACAAACCTCTTAGTTTCTACAGCATCTTTTGGGATGGGATAGTTTTGCAATACTTTAATCTTCTCAGGATCTGGAGATACTCCTTTTGCTGAGATAACATGCCCTAAATACAACATTTCTTTCATTAAAAATTCGCATTTATTAGGATTAAGTTTCAAATTGACTTCTCGCAACCTCTGTAATACTTTTATTAAATTTTGATTGTGATTTGATAAATTATTCGCGAATACACATATATCATCAAGATAAACTAAGCATTTTGTGTAATTTAAGCCTGACATCGCTATACTCATGGCTCTAGAGAAAGCAGAAGGACTTATTTTGAGTCCCATAGGCAATCTTGTCATCCTAAATTGAC